ATCCAAGCCACGGCTACATGGACATTAAAGGCGCAGGTTCTGGAAGCTTTTCCATCAAGCCTCCAAGAGGAACGTCAAGAACAACAGCAGCAGCAGCAGCAGGCCAGGAAAACGCTCGGGAAAACTCCTTGAGCGGCTGTCATTGCCATAAGCATTAAGTCGCAAGTACACCGCAAGAATCACGATGGTCCAAGGTATTGAAACTAAACTTCTGGTTAGACATTTAAATCTTCAATTTAATAGCAGAATTTTTTAAATAAAAATAGAAAATCATAATTCTTAAATAAGACATAAGTCAGTCTGTTATCTTTAAATTTGATAGAATCCAATCAGGAATTTAAAATAAAATTATAAATCAGAAATAAGATATTAAAGCAAGTGCATATAAAAAAGGTTTCAATATTGTGGATATTATGGTTTTCGATACATTAATTTGTATCAAAAGGATAAACAATATATTACATTAAATAACTAAATTATTAAAGTTTTACAACTAAATTGATTTAAAATATTTAAGATAATTTAGCCGTTTACTTATACAGAAAATATAAACAAATAAGCTTCCCCTATATTATTATAGAATCTATTCCCGTAGTATTTCCTCATGTTGTATTCCCACTTTTTTTCGCTGTGCACCGCCCACGCCTTTTGAAGAGCTGCAAAAGTCTGGAGGACGAATGAAGGGGCGTTGGGGGTTCAGAGGAGGCAGAGGCAGAGGAGGACTAAAAACTAAAATAGAAATAAAAATGAAAATAAAACATTAAGCTCTCGAGTCGAACTAACTTTTGACAGCTGAACTGGCAGCTGAAGAGCCCGCAGCCCGCAACCCGCAATCCGCAACCCGCTCGGCGTTTGCCGCTCCGCCAGCGCACTTTGTTGATTTTGTTGCTAACGGTAGTGTTGCCCGTGTGTTGGGTGTTATGGTTTTTCCTTTATTTGTTATATTCTTTCTTTGCTTATTTTCAGGACGACTGCAGAAGAAAGAAAGGGGGCCGCTCGGCAGGTGTTTGTCGCCTGTTTTTTTTCTTCTTCGAACTTTTTTTTTGCACTTTCACTTTGAATTTTTACGTTTGCACTTGAATTTGCCAGGGGTGAGGGGGGCGAGGGGCCAGACTTTTGCACGTATTTCGCACGATTACGGCACGGTATTTGCCACAGAACTGGAATTGGCTAACACCGACGCTGCCATTGGCTCACGCACACACAGGCACATACACGCTCTCACGCACACGCTGGGCGGACAGACAGACTGAATTCTCGACCACGAGAAGCGCGCGCGCTTGGCCCTGACGTGCCGCTCGGAGTGTTTGTCCAAAACTGAGGACTCGCAACGGGACGCCTAGACGGTAGACTCGAGAAAGGACTCCGAGGCAAGGACTCCCGCCCGGCCTCGCCCCCTTTTTCGTGCGCTCGGGGGCGGCGCCGCAGCGGTGCGTCGACGTCGGCAGCGCTGCTTGTCGAGGGGGACGCAACTTCGCCGAAGTAAAGTAACGATAACTGCCACACAATCGTCAAGGATTCGCGTGTGCGCGTATCTCTCTCCCGAGAGAGACAAAGAGAGAGCGAAAAACAGGACGCGGACGCAGGCTGCACTGCTTGCCCGATTTCCTCGAACAGAGCCGCTCCCATCAAGTATACGCACCGTCTGCCGGCACAGCAAATGATAAAGTAAAATATTCCCGCCAAGCATTTAAATTGAAATAGCTTTGAAGTAATTATAAACAAATATTTCATTTTATATATTAATTCATTTTTTTTCCATTCAAATTTAAAAAAAAAAACACCTAAATGTTTCTTGCAAAAAGCTTTTAGCACATACAAAAACCGCACGGCTAGCTTTTATGGGCAACATTTTAGCAAGGTTCTTTATCAAGAAGATACAATTGCAAATATTTATTGCAGTGCACAAAACTACGCTGAAAAAACAACCCAATAGAAGTACATCAGATTTATCTCATATAATAAATTACTTTATAATGGGTGACAAATAAAAAATATTAAAACTTTAATAACTATAGTTGAATTTTAAAGTTTATAAGATTTTATAAAATATAAAAGTTTTATTTATCGTATTGTTAATATTATATTGTCAATAACTTATCTTAACTTATTGTTCGCTTATTACTGCAAATAGGTGTTTTGATTAAAAAAAACAATTAAAGATCAAAACAGCGTCCTAAAAATATTGAAAAAATATTTTTATTTAATTTTTAAACGCTATTCACAAATTATTATTTTTTGATTTTGCTGTGACTTTAAAATTTTGAATGCGCCCACCTGCTTCTGTGGTTCAGTTAGATTGAATTTTCTAAAACGACCGTATAAAAGAGAAATGTAACTATTTAATTCCGAAAAAATTACCAAAATTGGTCGACCACTCTTGAAGATATATCCCAGAAGACGAAGAGCATTTGTGATTTTTATACCCTTGCAGAGGGTATTATGATTTCAGTCAGAAGTTTGCAACGCAGTGTATATATTCTTGATCAGCATCACAAGACGAGACGATGTAGCCATGCCCGATGGCCGTCCGTCTGTCCGTCTGTCTGTTTCTACGCAAACTAGTCTCTCAGTTTTTGAGCTATCGGGACGATACTTTCGCAAAAGTCTTCTTTCTATTGCAGGTAGTATATATGTCGGAACCGATCGGATCGGACAACTATATCTTATAGCTTCCATAGGAAGGATCGGGAAAAAAAACTTTAAAAAATTCTAGCTTCGGTGTTTTTTGAAATATTACCTTCTTTTGGGGATTGTATTTTTTAAATATTTCTGAATCAAATAAAAACACCTCTTAACGAGGTAAAAAACTAGTGACGATCGCACCTTCAACATACAAAAGTTCTGATATCAACATTTGTGACGAAAAATTATTAAACTCGTCATTAAATAGACTTTCTAATATTTTTACATTCGGCCCGCCCTAGCAAACTATTCCAGTCTTTTTCCCTTCACAGGCATTTTCTATTGCAGCGTGCCGAATGAGAAAATATTAGAAAGTCTATTTAATGACGAGTGTAATAATTTTTCGTCACAAATGTTGATATCAGAACTTTTGTATGTTGAAGGTGCGATCGTCACTAGTTTTTTACCTCGTTAAGAGGTGTTTTTATTTGATATCAGAAGTTTTTGTTTGTTTACATTTGCTCTCATAGGAGCTAATATATACATACATTTAAATTTAAATTGGTCAATCATAATTTGTAAGCCATTGTATTTAAACAAATTAAGTTAAAAAGGCGTTTAAGTATTTCAAAATACCTTTTAAACGATGTATAGCACATATCGGTACCTTTAGTAGTGTAGAACTTACAAACTAACGAAATTTAGCTATTTTTAGCTTTTTCCCGCTAAAGTAGCGGCTTTTTCCAAAAGTCGTATAACAAAAGATTCCTATATGGAACTTTTAAGTGCAAATTTACTGATTCCATGACCCTAAAATACAGTTCGGATACTCTCCCACAAAATTCAATACTCAGGGAGCGTTAATTGTTCGAGCTGGCTAAAGTGGCTATTTTCGAATAAAAATAACTTTTAAACGTGACTTTTTACAGTAATGTGTTATATACCAAAATTTAAGGAATCTCAAGGGCTATACAGTTTAAGGTTTTAAAGAAAATCGTTAGAGCCGTTTTTGAGAAAAATTAAAAAAAGCTAAAAAAAAGTTTTAAAAAATTGTCTCTTGTTCATATTTTTTTAACTATTACATTTACACAAATTGCATATAGAAGGCGTTTATAGCATTTAAAAATACCTTTCAAACGAGATGCAGCACAAGCCTGTAGCTTCAGTAGTATAGAAGTTACGGCTTTCCGAATTTTAGCTACTTATAGCTGTTTTCCCGCTAAACTAGCGAGTTTTTCCAAAAATGGTAGAACAAAAGTTTTTTATATCGATGTGATGAACGTCATATCAAATTTTCAAAACTTAAAAAACATGTTTTGGACAAACTGACAAACTGACAAACAGAATTAAATTTTCATTTTGGGGAGACGAAGAAAATCTTATTTTGGCTATAACTTTTGAACGGAGCGTCGGATTTTGACAAATGACCCCTCATTCGACGGGTATTTTCAAAAGGAATACAACTAAAGCATTGCGAGGGGGCATTTATCCCCACCGGCCCCAACAGCTCCAAATTTCGAAATTTTCACTTTTTCACTTTCACCGCTCTCTCTCCCAAGCCAATTAATTTTCTTAAAGTCTTGGTATGCAATCCTTTAAGTTTTTGCAATACCATTCGATAGGTGTATCATTCATTATGATCGGACCATCACAGCAGATTTTCATTTCTTCGTGTATATATAGTAGTCGCCTTCGCACACTCTCCTGGTGCGCTTCGTCACTACATGGACTGCCGTCCATAGTGATTTCGAATTAATTATTTAAAAAATCGGACTACTATATCATATAGCTGCCATAGGAACGATCGGAAAATTAATGGAAAAGTAATAGGAAATAAATTCTAGCTTCTTTGGTTTTTATTGTATTATCTTCTACTCTAGGATATGACTCTTATTAAATATTTCCGAATTTCAATTTTAATTTGATCAAAATCGGAAGACTATATCATATAGCTGCCATAGGAACGATCGGAAAATTAATGAGAAATATTAGAAAATTGAACATTTTTGCGATTTGTTAATTAATAGGAATGATCTGCAAGGGTATATAAGCTTCGGCTGGCCGAAGCTAGCTTCCTTTCTTGTTTTAAATTTAAATTGGCAACTTAAGCTTAGAAAAGCATAATTTACCGAAATAAAAGGGTGGCAGGCCTGGACAACGACCCATGTCCTATTTTGTCGACCTGTATTATCTCCACAGGTTTAAAAGCTACGATTTATTACCAAAAAAAGTCAAACACAATTAATAATAAATACACATTTTTTAATAAAAAGAAAGGGAAAATATAACGAAAAATTCAGGAAAGCGATTTTGACATTTTACACGGTGTTTTTTAGAGATGACCTATGATCGATAGATATATCGAAATCATCACTCACCTCTAGAAGGTTGTGAAAACCAAAATAAGTTCCTGGGTTATTTAATAAAATAAAAAAAAAATAAAGCAAATCGCAGTGATATACCTGATAAAAATGGTATACACAAAGGTAAGAAGAAGAAGAATCGTTCTCCAGCAAGTAAAAATAATAAAATCCATTGGGACCATGCTCGGATCCATTTGGGGATGATATGGGTGATGTATACCCTCCACTCGTGTGAAAGATGAAAGGAATTTTGGTACTCAAAAAGAATCCAACAAAACAAATGTTTTAATATCACCTCTACAACAAAATCCTAGATCCGCCACTGATTGGGTCTGACTCATAAATGACTCATGTCAAACGTGCCGCTCATGTTCCCAAAATGGAGAACTTTTTTTGATGAAGGCAACTTGTATAGGCCATTTATTTAGTTACATTATATGGGTGATATCCGGAAGTCCTCCTACTAAACGCAGCTTTGGTAAATCGCTCACATCTCTCGACACAGCTGAAAATGTTAAATTTCCTATTATGGCAGCGATGTGTTATATATATATAGATCGATTTTGATAAAATTAAAATATTTAAAAAGAGTCATATCCCAGAGTAGAAGAGAATACAATAAAAACCAACGAAGCTATAATTTATTTCCTATTATATATTTCCATTAATTTTCCGATCGTTCCTAATTCAAAATTCAGAATTAGATAGAAAATGGTATTTCCGAAATTAAAAAAGTGTTAAAAACAACCAAAATATAATTTTTTTACATTGTTTTTCCAAATTTTTTCAATAGGAACTATATGATATAGTTGTCCGAGCAGGCTCGTTCCGAATTATATACTACCTGCAAAAGAAAGAAGTCTGTTGGGGATGTTTTAGCCCGATAGCTTTAAAACTGAGAGGATAGTTTGCGTAGAAACGGACAGACAGACATGGCTAGATCGACTCGTCTAGTGATGCTCATCAAGACTATATATACTTTATTGGGTCGGAAACGTCTCCGTTACTGCGTTACAAACTTCTTAATAATACCCTCTGCAAGGGTATACAAATACTCGTCTGATTTTTGGGCGAAGTAACCTGAAAAGCCAAAAATATTCGTTATAGTGGTCTTCAGGAGGGTTACACTTTATACAATACTTACTTTATTGCGGAATTATGCTGGCGACATTTCTTCTTTGTGTATGGTGTTGTGTCGGCATGAGGTAGGTAAGGTTACCAGGACGACCCTCGACGATTCACGCATAGGCCAATATTGCTCTTAGTTGAACCTTGAGATTATTTAGAAGATTTCAATGTCCATAAGGATCGAAGTGTTTTTGGCAAGGGCAAGAAATTCGCCTGGTTTCCTTCTGGAGGCGTCCACAAGTGATGCCAGGTATCATTTTTTCCCTCGTGAAAGAGCCGGGCACTGAGCCACTTCTCCCGCTTTCCTAATGGCGAATAGTTCTGTCCGGAATATTTTGCAGTCGCTGGGTGGCTTATAGGACAGCCTTATTCTAGTGTCCATACAATATAAGTCCGTTTCTTCTCCTCCTTCCATCTTGGCGCCGTCTGTGTATATGTTGAGATGTTTCCACCGATTTCCATTTGGTGTAGGCGATCTGGTTTGATTACAGGAGTCTCATTCCTGATGTGTAGGTTCAGCAGTTTTTTAAAGTGTTGAGTATGAAAGAGGTAAGGCTTATCGGCTCGGTTTATCCGAGAGGTCCTCCATTGGATTGGCCTCCTTGAGGTAAAGTGGCTAAAAATATGAAACATAAATCTTTATCTATGGTAAAAAAAAGTACATTTTACTAATTCTAAATTAAAGATTAACATCCTGGGTAATACTCTAGATTAGGGGACTCGATCGCGAAATTCGCAAAAAAATTATACTCCATGGACCGCGATTTCTCAATAATTTACAAGCAAAAAAAACTTGGTCGTCACCCATGGTTCTCTGGCTATAAAAACAAGTATGATTTTCAGGTATTTTTAAATAAAATAATTACATTTTTATAAGATTCTGTAAAATTAATTAAACCTTATGAGGTTTTTAAATGAGTTGTTATGGGCTAGAAATCTCTTTGCTGAACCAAATATAAAGCATTTAAATGTAGTGCATTTGTTTGACCTGCGGCGCATTTTTTTTTCCTTTACTCCTTCTATGCAATATCTAAATATATTGTATTCTGGAGTTAACAATCTGATCTCAGATTTCTGGATTTTTAAATTTCGTCTTATTTAGTGGTGTCACAGAAACCTGCGATGGATTTGGGGCGGTTGGTTTGGAAAAAAAAACCCATCAAAACCGTAGGTGTCACAGATTCAGTCGAGTTTTCTAGGAGTTTCTGATTTTTTTTGGGGGGAAAATTTGGTTGGAAGCAGAGCATGTAAAAAACAGTTGATCGTTTTTTCATTTGCTGTCTCGGTCTGAACGAAACCGAAAAAAATTTAAAAATTTGGTTTCGGTCTGAGCGAAACCCTTCATTTCAGTTTATTTCGGTTTTCGGTTGACCGTTCTAGACTGAAAATACATTTTTTCGGTCCTTCAAAAAACCGATTTTTGGGACCGTTTGTATGAAGCGGTCCCAAAAAACTGTTAGTAGATGAACAAAACTTTGAAATGCTCAGTAAAAACGGTCTTTTTTGACAGTTCTGCCTTTCGTTTGCCTTACACCTTTAAAAATTTAAGGTAATATATAGAACATATATTTGAAAATACATATATGGTAAATAACTTAATTATTAGCACCATTATCTTCTAAAGAATACGCTGTTTTCAAGTTTTATGATAAAGCGCCATTGCTGATGCTGTTATAAGAGTAAAGACATACAAAGGCCATCATCTTCTGAAGAATTCGCGGTTTCTAAAGAATACGCTGTTTTCAAGTTTTATGATAAAACGCCATTAGTGATGCTGTTATAAGAGTAAAGATATACAATTTAAGTCTTGTAAGATATAGCCTCTAAGTGATGGTGTTATACGAGTAAATATACATAATGACCATCATCTTCTGAAGAACTCGCGGTTTTTTATTTTGTTTGATAAAACGTCTAAGAGATAGTATTATCCGAGTAAATCATCTTCATCTTCCATAATCTTCTGAAGAACTCGCGGTTTTTCATATTTTACATTAGGTAAAAATATAACTGGAAATATTGGTCTGCTAAAGTTCTGTACTTTGCGTTCAAGCCTAAGACACAATAAAATCCAAAATACTCTTCGTTTAAGATTTTTATAAATAAAAAATGGAATTATTTTTAAAAATTTAATTTAAAACATGTAATTGGGTTTAAAATATTTGGAAAAAACAAACAACATTTTTGGAGTATAGAACATCTTCTCTGTTTAAACACATAGGTATAAAAAGTCAAAAGACCGTTTTTGCTCTCCGTTCAGTTCAAACGGTCTTTGATCAACCGAAACCGTTTTGAAACATAAAAATCGGTTACTGGTTGAGCAAAGACCGAAAACCCTTTGAAAGGAAATAAACAATTTCTATGTGACTATTTGCTCAAAGGGTACCAAAGTGAGAGTTATTTTGAGACAGCTAGAAATAGTCAACTGTTTTGTACATGCTCTGGTTGGAAGGGATTTCACCCCCGATTTTGACAAATAGGGAAATGCAGGCATGATTGTTTTTATAGCAAAACACGCATCTTTAAAATTACATTACTCATGGATCGACTCTATGTTCCCCACAATTTATCTATTGGACTAATAAATTCAAGCGATTTACTTGCTCAAAATGTCACATTCGACCTATGGCCTCCAGAATTTATTTTCTGATCACTCTTGGATGCCTGTAAAATAAAACAAGTTAATAAAAATAGATTTTGGGGGTAAACAGGAGCAATTTGGACCAAACCTGAAGGCTTCTTTTCTGGATCTTCAGTATTATAATTTCAAACGATGAAAAGACACTTGTCCGCTGCCTTTGTCCGGTTAGCCTGTTCTTCAGCTGAGCAAATAAAGATTGACTCACATCCAGAACTGTCGCAATCTTTAAAATGTAAGAAAACAACATCTTGCTGACTTATATATTCATACATATTGCATATAGTACAATTGCTGATAATTCAATTTTAAATAAGTAATTGGACAGCAAGGCCCTAACATTAGCGCAGGCTGTTATGCCCTCTGTAAGCTTTATCTGCCCTTACCGTTTTTAAAAATTGTACTTGCCTCCAATGTCTAAAAGACTGCGTTAGCTTTTAGCGATTAACCGTAAACATGTAAGTCAGTTAATTAAAATAAATTGGTATATATTCAATATATATTGTGTTGTCTTTTTATTTATATATACAAAATGGAAGGCAAGACATCAATATATTAAGAAGGAAGAATATAAAAGTAAATAATATAAGTTAAGTAATATTAACACAATTTGAAACCTTTATTACTAACCACGTACTTTTTTTTAAAATTTGCAGTTTTGATTTAATTGTATTTAATTTCTGGAATCTTTCTTTTGCAAATTCCTGACGTGCCTCTTGAAAAGAAAGAAGGTACTAAGTATAATTGCATAGGCTAATAATGCACAATAGGAGGTTCAAGAACTTTTTATTGATACTGAAATCTTATCTAGATTGTTAGAATTCATTTATTGATAGCTTCTTTATCAGTACCTTATTGAATGAGTGTGCTATTTCTTTAAACCATGGTTAGTCACTTAGAAAGTAGGATAGAATTCATCCATTAAAAATAAATAAAATGCTATAACCGTTCTTTCACACAAAAACAAATTGGCAAACAGTCCCCAACAACAAAAAATTGTCAATTTTGTCAAGAATATAGGTGTGTGTCTTTGCTAATTGTGTGTATTTGTTGTTGTGAAAGTAACTAGTTTTTTTTTGTGTGTTTCAGACCATCGCTTTGGCCAGCGCTTTCCTCTGTATAATGATAATGACACCAATGGCACAATCTCCTCCACTCATCGAAGAATGCGGCTGCATCATTTCCCTTCGAGATGCCAAAATGAGCGCAGACTGCAGTATTGCAACTGATCTCAAGTGCTTGGCTGAACTGCGTAACGTTCAAATCTTGAATATTTCCGGAATTGGTCTTACAGAAGTGCCGGAAGATCTGAATTCAACAGGATTCGAGAACATTTTTCACCTAGATCTCTCAAACAACAACATATCCAATATCCCGAGCTGGAAGTTCGATGCAATGCCACAGCTGCACAGCATAAATTTGAGCTATAATCATATCACAAAACTGCCCGACGAAGCGTGCCGCATAAATTCTGTCTGACCGATATGTCCAACTTGGTTGGCATTTTCAAAACCAAGGCGAGAATCAGGGGAAATCCCATTCTGTGTGCTTGCAATTCGAACATCGCAAAAAGGTTTTATGCACAGGTTCGTTAACGTTTATCAATCTTTGGTTGTGACTTTATGACTTTCATCTGTCATTTCAGCCAAGTGTGTCCAGATTGGAAGGAATCGAATGCATTTTGCCCGGCTCCAACCTGTCAAAACCTCTGTCGACGCAATGCAACAACGATTATAACAAAGAGCAAGGGACTTGGAATTTTGTGGCATATTTCTTTTGCATATTTGTATTTTTAAGCATATTTGCCGCGGGCATCATTTTAGTGTGCATGTTCGTGAACGCTTGCAGCTTTTAATAATCTCTAACATATAGGCGCATAATGCCATCTCTATTCTGTTCTATATACTTTAAACTATGTACAAGAAAACATGTATACATACAAAAAAATCTCTTTAGTTTCTGGCAACGCCGCTAAGACGGCGTCGCTTTGCGAAATTCACTTCAGTATCGAATAGGCTTCGCAACTGGCAAGAATAAAAATTAATACAGTCCACACATAGGCAACTCAACTCGTCTTATTTCTGACCATATGTTGGTCCTTTGTTCACGGATTCTTGGACAGTTAGTGGAGTGCTTTGATTCTCAGGATAATTGTTTGCTATGGAACAATTAAAAGCATTTATGAAGAGCCGTTCCAGGCTCAAGGCTAACATCACACGTTGTCTCTCATGGGCAGAGCAATCGGAATCTGCAACACAGACAGAGATCACCACGCGCATACAACTTCTCCACGATGTTTGGAAGGAGTTCAACGAGTTCGGCGATGCCATTGCTGTCCACGAGGAAGTGGAAGGTTACGTCGATCCGGAGATCGATAATGCGATTTACGAAGAAAAGTACCTAAGGGCGATCGCAATTCTCAAGGACAGAAGTGATGCTCTACAACCGAGTACATCTACAGGCATTACGAATGGCAGCAACGGTCTGCATTCCAACAACGACGCAATTGTCAATTTGCTGCAACAAAACCAACAACTATTTGAGCGACTGGCTGCAAATCAGGCTAGCTCGAGCACGCCGGTTCAAGTTGGTGGTGACGTCACTTTGGCGAATTTAAGTTCGGTATTCGCGGCGAATTCTAATCAGAGCGAATTGCCAAAAATTCAAATCAAGCGGTTCTCTGGCAACTACACAGAGTGGCCCTCCTTTCAAGACATCTATGAAAACACAATTCATAACAAGCAGCATTTGTCCAACACACAGAAGTTCCATCACTTGAAAACACTTCTTGTTGATGAGGCTGCCAACTTGGTACGGCACTTGGCCATTACGGAGACTGCTTACAACACAGCTTGGGAACGTCTTAAGGAGAGGTACAATCGTCCACGGCACATTGTAAACTCATTTTTGGAGCAGTTTATGAGCCTACCAACAACTACAAAGGTAGATGCATCAATTCTACGGAAGGTGTCAGACGGAGCAAACGAAATTGTTCGCGGATTGGATGCGGTCAACCAGATGGGCCGCGATTGCTGGATCATCTATCTGGCGCTGGAGAAACTAGACGCTGACACGCGGCGCAGGTGGATTGAGCGCAGCATGGACACGGATTCACCAACTCTCGAGGAATTCTTCAAGTTTCTCGATTCTCGTTGCGAGGAACTGGAGCTGAGTAAAAGGGAGCTTGCTACTGGTGGCAAGACAATAACACATGCAGAAAAACCAAAAAGGGTCACACAATCGATGGTTGCGGTCGAAGGCAGTGGCTGCACCAAATGTAATTCTGCAGAACACACTCTGTACAGCTGTCCGCTGTTCTTGGATATGTCCGGGATGCAGAGGCGATCCTTCGTAAAGGAGAAATCACTGTGCTACAACTGCTTGCGATCTGGTCATGGGGTCAGCAAGTGCAAGTCGACATACAAATGTAGGCAATGCAAGGGAAATCATCACTCCCTTCTTCATGTCCAAGCGAATCCACAGGCTATTGGGAATCTTGCCCAGATAGCAGGGGAGGACGAGCGAAACACAAGCGCGTCCAACAACACATCGGTGACTCTCAGTCATTTCGCCCAAGGAGAGGGCACTCAATCGGCTGTATGTGCACAGGGCACTGCAAAATCTGCACAGGAATCGGAAGTAAAGCGAAGCATATTACCAACTGCCATGGTTTATGTTCAAAACGCAAAGGGTGACCACGTAACATGCCGTCTCTTATTGGACACGGGCTCCGAGCTTTCCTACGTATCCGAGCGTTGCATCCAAGCACTCGGATTGACACGGTCGGCATCACGCATCTTGGTTACCGGAATCTCTTCGGTGAAAGCAGACACGACCAGGGGATGCAGCACCTTGCATATCAAGTCTCGTATCTCCGAGGATCAGTTGATTGTCTACGCCCACGTGCTAGGCAGGATCACTTCTTCGCTTGAAAGGCAAAACATCGATGCATCGGCGCTCAAGGTTTTCAAGGATCTGCAGTTGGCGGATACTGAATTCAACACAAACTCACCTGTTGACATTCTGTTGGGCAGCGAACACGTATGGTCAGTGTTTACAGGACGAAAGATGTACGACAACAAGGGTAATCTTATCGCCATTTCTTCGGTGTTCGGATGGGTAATAACTTCACTCATCACACCGAGTCCAAGCAACGCTTGTGCGCTGACTACAACAGTGGACATAGGCGCCACGCTTCAGAAGTTTTGGGAACTAGAAAACGTTCAAAGCAGCGCAAAACTGGAACCGGAGGATGATCAAGTCGAGAAGCACTTTCTCACCACTCACAGTCGCGATGAAAACGGGAAGTATATCGTGGAACTTCCATTCAACACTGAAAACCCCGAATTCGGAGAAACTCTACAAGGAGCGCTAAAACGCTTTAAATCGGTTGAGCGGCGGCTGCAACAGAACGAGCAGCTGCGTACGCAGTACGTACACTTTATGAAGGAGTACACAAATCTGGGGCACATGCGAGAGGTACCACCGGAGGAAAACGCTACTGGAGATCAGTTTTATCTACCACATCACCCAGTGCTGGGTCGGAAGCTACGAGTAGTTTTCGATGGATCTTTTCGCGACGCCAATGGTAAGGCTTTAAATGACACCCTGTTTACAGGGCCCAGTATCCAGCGCGATCTATTCGCTGTGTGCCTTCGTTTTCGAATGTACAAATTTGCATTCTCAGCGGACATCGTAAAAATGTTCCGCCAAATATGGGTCAACGAAAAGCACAGAAACTTCCAGAAAATCGTTTGGAGAGAAGATCCATCCGATCCCATCAAGCATTTCCAATTGTGCACGGTATCCTACGGAACTTCGTGCGCGCCATTCCTGGCGGTGCGAGTGCTGGAACAACTTGCTATCGATCATCAAGAGGAATACCCAAATGCGTCGAAAATCCTGCTGGAGGATTTTTATGTCGATGATGTTCTTACTGGGTCAAACAGTGAGGATGAGCTACTTCGAAACCGAAACGAGCTGGTTCAGCTGATGTCTTGCGCCAACCTTGAGCTCGGGAAATGGGTATCGAATACACCATGCATACAGACGAACGATGGCGACACACAATCTGCACAAACGTCACCAGTAAAGGTTCTCGGACTGTACTGGCATCCTGGAAAAGACATTCTAACGTATAATGTCGGTCTTGCTGCAAATCCTGATTGCACAAAGAGACAAGTCTTGTCCGACGTCTCGAGGATATTTGATCCTCTCGGACTCTTGGCACCCATTGTCATTCAATTCAAAATCCTTTTCCAAAAGCTCTGGCTCTTGAATTTGGACTGGGATGACCCACTCCCAACTAAACTGGCGGACAACTGGCTGAAGTGGAGAGCAGATCTGGACACTCTTCAAAAATTCCGACTACCACGATTTGTTCCCAACGACCCGGACAACATCGAACTCCACGGATTTTCGGATGCTTCAACCAAGGCGTATGCTGCTGTGGTGTACAGCAGAGTTACAAACGACGATGGATCCATCTCGGTGTCCATTGTGGCTGCGAAAACAAGGGTGGCTCCACTGAAACAACAATCCTTGCCACGTCTGGAACTTTGCGCAGCACTTCTCCTCAGCCAACTGATTCGTTCGATCACATCTGGTTTACGCCACAAGAACATAACTGTTTTTGGCTGGTCCGACTCTTCAATAGTGCTCTCCTGGCTATCGTATGCGCCAGCCCAACTCAAGACATTTGTTGGAAACAGAACCTCGGAAATCCTTGACACCATTCCAAGGAGTGCTTGGCGTCACGTCGATTCCAAAACAAACCCAGCTGACTGTGCGTCCAGGGGACTGATGGCTGCTGATCTCATCGACTTCCATTTGTGGTGGAATGGGCCTCAATGGCTACGGGACAAGGATCAGTACCTGGTAAAGTTAAGGGGTTATATACCTTTTTTGAGCGAAAAAATTGAGGGAACTTTGGATTTTTTTTTTGGTGTGTAGCAATTATTTTATGACAGTGAAGTTATTATTTATTGATAGTACATGTTTTTATCGAAACAACAAACCTTTGTTCTTGAAAAAATATGAAAAATTTACGAAGATATGGCAATTCTTTCGGAACCCTTTTTTTTTATAGCGGCTTGCGGTGACCACGATGGAAGTCCAGCAGGTCAACTTATATCAAAAAACCAAAAATTTTTAGTTAGTATAGTATTATATCCAGTTCGTGAACGATTATTTTTAAGAATATTTGCTTTTTTCTGCATACAGTAACAATTTTTCCAAAAAGTTGATTTTTCGAGTTCTAAAAATTTTATTAAAAAATTCTGATCTGCGAAATTAAAATTGGCGCATAAAAACTGAATCGTTCACGAACTCGGCACAATCATTACGAATAATTTAAAAAAAAATTGAAGAAGATCGATCGATTAGTTCTTGCGCAATCGTGGTCACAGCGAAAGCACTTTTGGAAAAACACGACTTTGAGATAATCGCATTCAAAGTTTTACGTTGACGTTGCAACTATT